TCGTTATTACGAGAAAAGATGTCGTTTTAACGAGAAAATATGTCGTTTTAACGAGAAAAGATCTCGTTATTACGACATAATTGAGTGGAAAAAATAATATGTGTGCGGCAGCAATGCGTCACCGTATGATGTTATGTAAAAACTCCTAATAGTACAAAAGTACAAAGCAAAATACATACAATATTTTTTTCTTTTGATTTCTTGGTGAAATGACCCAGATATGTTCCTGACTAAACCAATGTGGTTCGGACAATGTTATCACGGTGTGAGTAGCTGGGTAATTTATTCAACGACACATCATACTAGTTAGGCAGAGTGTTATGTCACTATTCTGATTGAAAAGATCAGACTCAAAGGGTTAATCTCATACGTTCATGAATGTGCCCAGAAGACTTTTTTTTTTTAAATGCTCCTTCTGTGTTCCTTGGGGGGAAAAAATCATACAGGTTTGGTACAACATGATGAAAAGTAAGTAATGACAGATTTGTAATGTTTGGGTGAACTATTTCTTTGATAGTTGTAATATAAAAACAATCATAGTGGTGCACTGACCAGGGAGGCAGTCGAGATGATGGTCACATGGGTCAATGACATCAGCATCAAGCGTTGCGTTCCCATTACTTTTGTTTTTGCCACGACGTTTATCTTTATTGGGGAAACAGACAGACATAGGCCTCCTATGAAATCCTTTATTCAGAAATCAGCTGTGAGTTTGCAAATTATTTACGCATAGAGGTTTAAAGATCTGGGAGAACTACATCCGATCTTATAATCAAATATTTATCCAGATCTTTCAATATATCTTGGTCTAAACACCCCAAAGATTTTGGTCTTGAATATCTGGGGGAAAAAATCTTTTAAAAAAACCCTGCTGCAGGAAACAAATCTGACAGACTGTAAAATCACTGTTATTGATTAGACTTGAGAATGTCCTTTCATACCTTTTCTTTTGTTAGATGGCCAAGTGTCTACAGGCTTCATATCCTCATAATCAGTCCAGTCAAAGAGGGTCATGTCCAGAGTCGGCATCACCTCCCCTTGAGCCTTCCCTCGACCCGACTTCTGAATGAGACAGATTTAAATCATGGTTTTAGAAAGGTTTATTCTGGGTGATCCACTTGACACTTTTAACCCTCAATCTGTCCTTGGGGTCAATATGACCCCAATCAACTTTTACTTAATTAAAAAAAAACTTTTTTACATTTTCTACCTATATTCACATAAAAAACTGGGGTTGATTCGGTTGTTCTGAAGGTATGTAAAAAATTTTTTTTTACTAATCTGGTATTTGGGGTCAATATGACCCCACATTGAAATGAATGGGAAATGCGAAAAAATCTATATATTTTTTTTTTCATTTGTCAAAAAAAATCTATAAATCTGGCATAAATCGGAAATTTACACAAACACACATACACACACACACGTGTGTGACTGCAACAGAGAGCATTTTTATAGAAATTGGCAAATAAAATCAATAAATCCTGCATAAATCTGAAAATGGCCACACAAAAACAAAGGCCTGATACTAGAGCACAAATGCAATGTGGAACGAGCATACTCACTCACGCAGACACACACTCTCTTCTCTCTCACACACAAACACACACCTTTTTTTAGGTCTCTACATATGGAACCCAGCCCTCTACCGGTTCTCACAGATTCATCGAGAGAGGGCCTGGCGCCGGACGCTCCGCCACGTCTGGCTGCCGAGGGGACGGACGACCGCAACAGGGCCTACTACTACAGATATCTGCCAGCGAGGCGCCACGAGCCAGCACCCAGGAGGATGCAACACTTCTAGTTGAGTGAGCCCGCAACCTGAACGGGCAGGGCACACCCTGTGCCTGATAAGCCAGGGTGATGGCATCCACTATCCAGTGGGCCATCCTCTGCTTAGAGACGGCATTTCCTTCTGCCGGCCTCCGTGAGCTGGTCTGAGGTCCTGAGCTTTGTGTCCGGTCTATGTAGCAGCTTAAGGCTTGGACGGGATAGAGCAAAGCTAGGGCTTTGTGTGTGGTTTTTATTTACATTTAAGTTTATTTACATAACTTGTTATTTCTACAAGTTTTTCTCTAAGCAGCAGATGGCATAATTCTACACCTAACACCTAGATCAATATCCAGAAACAACTTAAATCAAATTTAGATAATCATTTAAGTGATTTTTTTCATGAAAATATAATATTTAACATGCAAGCTAATGGTGTGGTTGAGGATTTTTGTGGTAAATAGGTACAAAAGTACTTCATATCTCCCAAAACACAGCTCTAATGTATAGATGAGAAGTAAACAAAATGTTTTATATATTATTTGTATGATTAAAAATGTATATATTTTTTACAATTACTCTTTCAATTTTGGGGTCATATTGACCCCAAATACCATTAGTGTAAACAGGAAATGAGAACCATATGAGGGTTAAGCAAGGTGCTAACTCAAAACCTGTGATATAACAACTTTGCATTGATCTATATTACAGGATAGCTGTACTAACAACATTAAAATAGCTAAGAAATTCTTAAAGATACTAAATAATATCCAGAATGCTAACTTCTGTGAAGTTAAATATTGTGCTTGTCCTGGCTCACCCAGTCAGAAAAAGCATCATGTTTAGTGAGAGCACCACCTTCTGGTCATCTTCTGGACAAAAGGCGTTTTGTATTTTTAGTACTAAAAGCATTTTCTGCATAATTCAAAAAGCAATAAGCAGTTATGCCATCACAATAAATAAAGCTCTGGGTTTATAACTACAGGTTATGAGTTCAAATCCCACATGGGGTGATGTTGAGATTCTTCCTCTGTTGAGATTGATTTTGTCTGGCATTGCATTTAATGGAATATAGCCTGTGCTTGTCCCTGTGATTGTTGCATACACCTATATTGTTTTTCACCTGCTGCACAGCTTTGGAAGCTTTGATAAGATTTTGATAAGATATTTTAATATTTTATTTTTGAAATAATGTACACTGATAAATATTGTATAATGAGACTGGGGACATTTAAAACCATAAATAGGCTCAATGTTGATATCATGTTGATATTAATTTACAAATAACTGCCTGGCCTCACACCGTGATTCCAATTTAAAGGGCTCTTGATGTCCAATTTTTAAATACAAGTGTAAGAAAGACATGAAAGGCTTGATGACCAGTCATTTTATTAGTCATTAGACCAAAATACTACTCCATGCTTTATTATTAAAGATCTAAGTGTTATATTAGAAAGCAAATTGCTTTTTGAAAATCATATTTTCCATGTTACCAAAACAGCATTCTTCCACCTTTGAAACAATGCCAAGTTACGGAACATTATCTGTTTCTAATACAGAAAAACTATACTCCATGCATTAATGACCTCAAGACTAGATTATTGTAGTGCACTGCAAAGTGCCTGCCCTGCATCCATAAACAAGCTTCTGATGATTCAAAATGCAGCTCCTAGTGTTCTTGCCAGGTCAAATGTATTATCTTATCACACCAATTTTATCGTCTCTAGACTGGCTAACTCTCAAGTTCTGCTTTAGTTTTTAAATATTGCTACTGATGAAGCCCTAAATAGCCGAGCTCCTTTGTATTTAACAAATCCTCTATCTCATTACAATCCATCATGCTCTTTAAGGTCACAAAACTCTAGGATATCAAAGTCCACTATAGAAGCTTTTCCACATTTGGCTTCTAAACTCTGGAACAGCCTTCATGATAATGGTCGGCACTCAGATTCACTCTCTCAGTTTCAATGTGGATTAAAGACGTCTCTCTAAAGCATTTACATAACACATCTCATAATACAGAATTCCAGTTATGTCTAATGAAATTGTAACAAAAGCACATCATCTTTGTATAAAATAACATGCACAGCAGTTATGCTAATCATTTTCTATCTTAAGATGCCCATCCTGATGTTGCACCAATTCCAATTTGGGTCCAGCATTACATGTGAAGACTTCAGATGACTTACGAGACTGACAAATATTATCCATGTCATAACCATTACGATCACAAGCTGAATCATCGCCTTAAGGATAGTATAATTTTGTCTAACTAAACCTTATTTTTTTCTTTTTTATTTATAATTTTTTATAGTGCAAATTTTAGTGAATTGTGTTAAATCCACCTAGGGTCAATTTTTACATAATTTTAGAACTTCAGCATAATACAAGGGTTAGAAAGATTAAAGCAGATGTAAGGAATTTAAGGAAATGTTCCCCATATTTATTAGATCCCAAAGACACTGTCACGCTGCTACATGCATTTTCCGTAAAGCTGCTTTAACATTTTATGTACTGTGAAAAGCACTAAACAAATAAATGTGACAAAGCAAGAAAGAATGAAAGAAAGCAAGAAAGAAAGAAAGACTACAAAATCAATGTGAAAGTAATAAAAGTAGACCTGATTGACAGTCTTCACGTACAATATCCATGACTGCAAATCCCAATTCTAAAATTTCCTGAAATTCCCTTGGATTTTCCATGTCCCTTGAAACCCTAAATAGAGCTGTATGAACAGTCAAAATCTATGCTTTTGTGTTCTAAAAGAGCTAGATTTACTAAACAAGGCAACTTGGTGTGAGACTGCAATCCCATATGAGCACTGATGGGAATGGAAAGTTCTGCAAGAGTACTATTTCCATAATGAACAACACGATCCAAAAAACAGTAAACTGACTACCACAAATTTTAGTAAACACAATATATAATTCATTTAAATACTCTCCTCACATTTATTTTCCTAAAATCAGCCACAAAAATGACTTTTCACTGCTAATTTTTCACTGCATGTCGTTGGCAAATCCTGACACTAGTTTTTTTTTACCACCAAAAGAGGGTTTGCGCTGGTGCAAGCTATTAGTAAATCTGGCTCCTAGATGTGTATACACTGAAGTCTGCACTCTAAAGCTTCTGGCATCACATGCTGATATGTGTGTGATCTCTTGTAGAGTCTGTGTCTTTGCCAGCGGCTGGAGCAGGAGCGGCACAGACACAGTGCAAGTGAACAGCATTGAGGACGGTGCTCTTCTGGGAGTTGAATGACTGGAGAGGCGAAGGACAGAGAGAATCTAACCAGAGTAATAACTGACTTCTGCTGCTCATTCCCTCAGCAATACAAGGAAAAAACACTGCGTGCTATTCAAAATTGCTTTTGCATCACGTTTGAGAACTGGATCATTTATGACATGCCATCAAGATACCACATTCTCTCAGTTTCCCTCTTGACATTTTATTTCATGATCAAAATATACCTTAGTTGTAGTAGAGGTAGATGGATAGGTATATCGATTGTCTCTAAAGACTACAGCTGATCTACTAGAGGAATGGCAGTTAGATTAAGTGCAAACTGAAGATCTCTCTTTGTATTTCTTTATCTAAGGCTGTTAGTGATCGAAGCCTAATTAGAACTGTCCAAAGTACTTTAAGTCACTGAACTGCAAACCACAGCATTTGAGTAGCAGCTGAGGGTTTGTGTGTTACAGTCTTAATTCTCCATTGACACACGGTGTATGTAGCCACACCACTAACACATGCTTCTATACAATTTGGCATTATAGTGCATATTGGCATTAGAGTTTTGCACACTACACTCTTAAAAATAAAGGTGCTTCAAAGGGTTCTTCAAGCAATGCCATAGAAGAACCATTTTTGGTTCCACAAAGAACCATTCAGTCAAAGGTTCTTTAAAGAACCATCTCTTTCTTAACTTTTTATAATCTGAAGAATGTTAAAGGTTCTTTATGGAACCATTTAGACAAAAATGTTCTTCTATGGCATCGTGAAGCACTTTTATTTTTAAGAGTGTAACCTCATGCAGCAAGACTTGTTCTGTCAGTTCATCAAGATGTAATAAAATGTGTTTCTTCAAGCATGTCTGTTGCTTGTATCCAAGCAACAGCATTTCTTGTTAAATTTCCGAGATGTCTCACAAGTCTCACATCACAGTCGCCGAAAGATGAAAAAAAAATGTACATGTCATTTGACTGTTTCTACATGTTAACACCCTTGTTGGGATCTTTTGAAATAATTTTCAGAGCATCTGGTGCTACACACAGCCAGAAGCACCACAAGGTTTGACAGACTTAACAGTGTTTTGCTCTTATTGTGAGCAAATCTAAAATAAACAATAGTATCTATCCCACCTCTTTTATTTCACCATGAGTGGGTGCACTGACATGTAAATGTGTACCATACAGGTCCGTAACCATCACAGACTTTAGATATGGCCAAACTGTCCACAACCAATGGCAATGCAAACTGCTTCACTTTCCTGTCAAATTTTGCAGTTGTGAATTGAAAATATAGGCAGTCATTGAAATATGACAAGACAAGTAGCATTTCTCAATTTTCAACATATTATGCACAAAAAAAAATTGCATGGGTGAATATTTTAAAATAAAATGATTATTTGAAAACAGTTCAACTTGATTACTTTACAAAAATTAATTTTTCTTGTTCTTCTATCTTTTTCTTTATTTTCCAAAAATCCATTTATTTATTTAATTTAAATAAAAAGACCAATACCGTTGTGTTATTCTAAAATAAAATAAAATAAAATAATTCCTCAAGATTTAATCTATTTAAGATTGAAACTTGGAAATCACCTATTGACTTAAATCATAGAATTTTCACCAGTATCAGTTTATGCTCATCGCTGTGTCTCATTCTGGCAGCTTACTTTCCTTTCTGGATTATTTTAGCAAAAACACTATTCTTTTGCTGCCTTGTAAGTGTTTGCATTTCCTTAAGGAATTGCAAATGTAGTTTTTATTAATATCAGCATCCAGGCCTAGTGATGCCTCTCAAGAGAATCTGAATATATACGAGGAGTGATAAAAAGATATCCAGGGAGGAGAATGGAGTAGAACAGATGGCTGTGAAAAAGAGGAGCAGGAGGATGGGCGAGTGACATCTCACCCCTTACTCGCTCTGTTGACAGCTCCCCTTCTCCCTAGTGCAAAGCGAGCTGGGTAATTTTACTCGTGTATGATCCAGCCCCGGGCGGCACTCAGTAATAAGCACGGCACAGAAGCACAGGTAAATAAATCTGTGTGATGAAGCGCTACACACCGCAAGGATGACAAGTACCTCCACTACTGGCTCCAAACAGCATTTCAATATCTATATCTGCCACAGTGTGCGGTTCAAATGAAGATGTTCATTTTGGGATCTAACAACAAAATGACAGAGTGGAAAAAGACTCAAGGCAGTATAAAGCAGACTGAAAGCAGCAAAACGTCCCAAGAGTAATGCCACTGACTTAAGTATTTCTAACAATAAAATCAGGATGCTGGTGAAATGTTTAACAAAAAAAAAAGGAATCCAGGCAAAACAATGCAAAAATGCTTTTGTACACAGTCCTCTGTGCATATGAGAGGAATAACAGCATCTTAGAAAACTAAACACTCTGAACAACACAACAGACGAGGAGCAGGAGGATGGGCGAGTGACATCTCACCCCTTACTCGCTCTGGTGACAGCTCCCCTCCTCCCTAGTGCAAAGCGAGCTGGGTAATTTTACTCGTGTATGATCCAGCCCCGGGCGGCACTCAGTAATAAGCACGGCACAGAAGCACAGGTAAATAAATCTGTGTGATGAAGCGCTGCACACCGCAAGGATGACAAGTACCTCCACTACTGGCTCCAAACAGCATTTCAATATCTATATCTGCCACAGTGTGCGGTTCAAATGAAGATGTTCATTTTGGGATCTAACAACAAAATGACAGAGTGGAAAAAGACTCAAGGCAGTATAAAGCAGACTGAAAGCAGCAAAACGTCCCAAGAGTAATGCCACTGACTTAAGTATTTCTAACAATAAAATCAGGATGCTGGTGAAATGTTTAACAAAAAAAAAAGGAATCCAGGCAAAACAATGCAAAAATGCTTTTGTACACAGTCCTCTGTGCATATGAGAGGAATAACAGCATCTTAGAAAACTAAACACTCTGAACAACACAACAGACCTTCATATTCAAGGACGCTTCTGCTTGCCAGGGTACCTGGGGTTTGGTGGAGGCTGGGGACAGTGTTGGGGGATGCTCGTTGATTGCCGTGGTTACCAAAATGGGGAAGAGAGGGGAGGGAGCTTCAGTGAGTGGGGCATTGTCGTGATTGGGCGGGGAGGTGTAAAAACCATCCTCAAATGCATTCATATCCTTCGACAAGGAGCCTAATTCTGGTTCAGGTTCATAGAGATCCCCTAGGAGAAAAAGAGAGAGAAACTATGGTCAGTCTTTAATAAAATTAGCATAGTTTAGACTTGGCAAACATCTCATATGGCTACTTATAGACACAGAAACAAACCCAATGTTACTAGACTCCATAGGCCTATTGAACATCTCAGGCTTTATTGTTAAATATATTTAATTCTATACAGTGCACTATATACACTACTGATCAAAAATTTAGAATATTATGATTAAGTCTCTTATGCTTGCCAATTAAGGCTGCATTTATTTGATCAAAACAGTAAAAACAGTAAAACTGTGAAATATTATTAAAATTTTAAATAACTTATCTTTTACATATATTTTGAAATGTAATTTTTTTCATTTATTCCTGTAGTAAAACGGAATTTTCAGCATCATTACTCCAGTCTTCAGTGTCACATGACCCTTCAGAAATCATTCTAATATGCTGATTTGCTGCTCAAGAAACATTTCTGATTATTATCAACATTGAAAACAGTTGTGCTGCTTTTTGTGAAAGCTGTGATACACTACCATTCAAACATTCAGTATGTTGGTTTAGTATAAGAACCATTATTAATAACTGAGCGACAAATCAGCAAATTAGACAGTACTGAACCAAGCAGTATATTGTAGTACATATTGTACATAGTCTTTGTTCTTTGAATGTGGTTTGAAGCTGGATGTGTGCTTAGCTGAATAAATGTGAAATTACTTGGGAAAAATATTCTATATCTATCTGCCAGTGAGCAGGGAAAGTTTAGATGTCACTGCAAATATAAATGAATAAACTTCACCCCAAAACGTCTCGGTTACGTAAGGTAACCCTCGTTCCCTGAAGGAGGGAATGGAGACGTCACGTCGGATGATCGACGAAATTGGGATCTCGCTTAGAGAGACCAATCCACTTCGAGTGTAAACTAAACGAGCCAATGCACATTGGCATGCGATTATTGCATCCAGCTGCTGCTGATCACAGCGTGAGTATAAGTAGGCAGCAGATGCAGCGCATATTCAGGTTTTCGCTGAGGAGTCGAGCCGGTGACCCGGCCACTCAGCGGTGGTACAGGAGCTGTGGCGACGGGACGTGACGTCTCCGTTCCCTCCTTCAGGGAACAAGGGTTACCATACGTAACCGAGACGTTCCCTTTCAGTCGGTCACGACGAAATTGGAATCCTACCAAAGGGCCACAGCTACTGCCCCTTCCAGTGTCCTGTGGAAGCCACCTGCGCCCCTACTTTTTGGCGTAGGCCAGGGCTTCTTCACAAGAGGACCAGCTACTGCTGCTATGGCACTACCCAATGAGTAAGACTGGATAATACTGGGAAAACGTACCCGTTCTACTTGGAACAGGGGCGTTACGGAAGCTCGAACCTTCCCGAAGGAGGTTTCGGAAGCAATACACATATGGACATCCCTTAGGTGCATATGGAAAAAATGGAGGTGATTGAACCCTCTTGGAATGGCAGAAATCTGCCGGGGAAACACGGGCCATTCTCCCGGGAGCGCAGCTCGGGACAGCCGATGCTGCGACCGACATCCGATCATCGGGAGGAGCCTTGGAAGAAACAGGTGGTATCCCCCGGGAGGATCCAGCCTGCTCTCTCGAGGGATCCGCTGCGAAGTGCCGGCTGGTTCGGGCGTCCCCTTCCTTGTAGGAGGGGAATTCCTTACCGTGACCGTGAGACCAGTCCGCCCACTGCCAGAAAAAGGGTACCCCCGGCTGCCACCAGAGGGAACCCCAGATCTAGGCAGTGGCACGGGCACTCCGCCCCCTTGCAGGTAACGGAGTCTGGTCCGCAACTCCGAGATGGTCATACCCCCGCAATGGGAGCATGAGTCATCCACGAAAGCTGCCTCAGCGTGCTTCACACCCAGGCACGAGAGGCAGCGATCGTGACCATCACCCGGCGCCAGGTAACAAACAAACCCAGAAACAAACAGGTGGTAAGACATCTTCAAAAAGACGTTCCACCCGTGAAGCTCTTTTAGAATGGAAAATTGCTCTTTCAGTGTGCTGAAGCGCACAGGGGAGATGGCCGTCTGCAACACACACAGGGATAGTGCAGCCTGCTGTGTGCAACCCACTTGACACGGGAAAACCACCGCCGCTGAAGCGCCGTCCACCAGCACGAGAGCCCACAAAGAGCGTGCTTGACTCGTAGTCTTTACTCGTAGAAGGTCAGGAGCAGAACGATAGAACTGCTCGGCTCCGAAGCGAAAAGCTGAATATGCGCTGCATCTGCTGCCTACTTATACTCACGCTGTGATCAGCAGCAGCTGGATGCAATAATCGCATGCATCACATCACAAATGTAGTTTTAGGTGCTATATTACCACTTACGTATGTAATTGCATGTTGTGTGTCATTTCTGTGGATAACATTAGCCTTTCCCTCATACAGCTTCAGCTGACTTTAAATGTAGTACACAAGCATTGTGACTAACTTGACAGTCATTGGTTACTATAAGCTTTCAATGTATGGAAAAAAAGCAGAGATTGAAAAATAGGTCGGCACAAGTATTTGAAAAAACAATTTCAATATGGCTTAGTGTGATTATTAAATGAAAGGCTGCAATTTAGTCTGATGCAGTGCATTTTTCAGAGTGGAGCATGGAGCATTTACATTTTCATAATTGCCAAGATTAAAAAATATATAAATTTTAGCATTTTATCAGATTACTAACGAGAAGTGTTTATAAACCTGTTGTCAACTAAACAGACTTAAAAGACTACCTGCAGTTTTTCGCCAAAGGTTTAGCTTTTGAAACAGACTTTTGTAAAAGCCAAATTTTTCCATTTTTAGTAATTAGCCATTTTTTGTGATAACCAAAAGAAGTCTTAGTAGGTTGTTGTAAACAGGGGTGTCAAACTCAATTCCTGGAGGGCCGGAGCCCTGCAGAGTTTTGTTCCAACCCTGCTCCAACACACATACCATGTATGTTTTCAAATAAGCCTGAACGACTTGATTAGTTGGATCAGGTGTGTTTAATTAGAGTTGAATCTAAACTCTGCAGGGCTCCGGCTCGCCAGGAATTGAGTTTGATACCCCTGTTGTAAAGACTGAACCCTTAAAAAGCAACTATTGCCATTGGCACCAGTGTGATTCCTTTGTCCTTTTTGCATAGATGTTTCAGCAAACAGAAATATGGGGGATGATTTCTTATGAAATAAATGCTTACCATATTGCAAATTGCAATGACTCGTATTAACTAAGTAAAAAATTCAGCAAATCTCAATTACCTTTAGCTCGACCTTTGTCTCTTTTGTCTCCCTGCTTTCTGTGATCAGCCTGATGCCCGTGACCATGTCTCCTGCCTTTACGATTGAACTCTCCCTCCGGTGGATGATTTCCCCGCCGCATATGAGCAGGACCCCTCACCTCCTCATGAACCTCCGTCCTCATACTGTCCCCAGGACCCATCTCCAGCCTTACAGGGCTCAGACCCTCCAGACTTGTCCCATCCTCCTCCAGTCGATCCAGTGGCCTTTGTGAGTGAAGCCCAACACTATCATCCCTGTCTTTACGAGGCCAGTGTCTCCGTCTTTGGCTGCCGCCCAGAAGTCCCATATCTTGGTCTTGCTTGGAGTCAGAGGTGGAAGACCGGGTCAGACTCTTTTTGGCATTTTCAGATGGGATCTCAGAGCTGTACGAGGTGTGGGACAGTGTGATGAGGAGCACAGCCAAGAGACGACAAAAGCCGGGAGCCGCCATCTTCAAACACAGTGCCACCTGTTGTTTAGGGCAAGATCAGGTCAGACTTTAACACTTTTGCACTTTGAATACACCTTCATTATTATTTTGAGAAATGCTTATTAAATATATACAGTATATATATATATATATATATATATATATATATATATATATATATATATATATATATATATATATATGTATATATATATTCTTTTTACATATATCATAATTAATTCCTAAATATTTACAACACATGACATTTTAGGTCACTTTATTTTAAGGTCCAATTCTCACTATTAACTACGACTTTTGCCTCAATAAACTCCTAATTACTGCTTATTAAGAAATAATAAGGTAGTTGTTAAGTTTAGGTATGGGGTAGGAATAGGATTAAGTGATGTAGAACATGCCATGCAGAATATACGCTTTATAAATACTACTAAGTAGCCAATATGCTAGTAATATGCATGCTAAGCAACTAGTAGTGAATAATATTGAGAATGGTAACACTTCAGCATAGGGACCAATTCTCACTATTAACCAGTTGCTTATTAGCATGCCTATTATTAACATGTCGGCTGTTTATTAGAACTTACAAAGCACATATTCTGCATGACCATATTCTACATCCCTAATCCTACCCAATACCTAAACTTAACTCCCTTACTAACTTTTAATAAGTAGCAAATTACAAGTTAATTGAGTTAATTGAAATCATAGTTAATGGTTTGTTAATAGCGAGAATTGGACCTTAAAATAAAGTGTGACCACATTTTACAACGGGAACTAAGGTTAGTGTGATTGTTAATGATTTGATAGCTAGTAATATGCATGCTAAGCAACTAGTAGTGAATAATATTGAGAATGGTAACACTTCAGCATAGGGACCAATTCTCACTATTAACCAGTTGCTTATTAGCATGCCTGTTATTATTTTATTAGTACTTATAAAGCACATATTCTGCATGACCATATTCTACATCCCTAAACTTCACAACTACCGCACTAACTATTAATAAGCAACTATTTCTTTATATGCAAAATTTACTCAATAGGAAATGAATGAGTACACCTATAATTAATTTGAGCTGGATGAATAAATGATCATCCTGATTCCGTACAGTACATCCACAATTTTTATTGCCGCCTCAATACCCATTCAAGTAAAATTATCAGAGGAGAACATTACTCTTCATTGCCTTTGCAACTGGAGAGCACATTAAAATGGCAAAACTTAAATTGCAGCTCCATCTCTCACCATTATTGCCTTATAATTGGTATCTCAGTGCTGTGATTTAGGTAATGAATCAAGCTCAATGAAATAAAGCAGAATTTAATGAGAAGGGTTTGGTACAACTGGGCGGTAATGAGGAGCGTTTGATATGCCATGGTTTATATTATCCATCTTTCACTTTCGCAATCAGATTCAAAAATGTCTTGCATGCACACAAAGCAAGGTTTAAGACAACTTTCTACCACCAATCTTTACTACGTACTCTCATCCAGAGATATGGCAGTGTACATACAGGTTTTAGCATTGTGTTAGTGCTACCATTAGCATTAGTATTAATTAGTGCTTGTATTGAGTTATTGCCCATGCTTTTATGGGCTTAGGGGTGTGTGCTTACATTGTGTTGGTGTCAGCATTAGCGTATTTAGGTCTCTCTGAGACTTTCTTTAATGTGGGCGGGGGTAGTTCATCAACCTGGCAACCCGCTAAGGCAGCCATTCTGCTCTGTGAAGACAGTGGCGTATGATAAATCAATGGGTATTGAGCTCTTGTGGGTCGATAGTTGGACCAGCCTTATCAGCCACAGTCATACAAATGCACCTCACACCCTACAGAAATCATTGTGTAGGGTTGCTAGCTAGGGGACTTTATTGTGGGCTATTTAAGAACCCATCCACAAAGACTAAGTGAAGGAAATTGCATATGAGGCTGGGTAGCAAAACCCCTGCCAGAGGAAATTTGTATCAAGATTGCAGGCGCTTCATTTGGGAATACACACTGACTGCTTTGGGCTGTATCAGTGCTTTTCACAACTCTGAGAGGGTTTAGAGCAACCGCTGAGCTTTAGTCTCCACACAATTGCTGGTCTCTATTCAGTATGAGCACTCCCCCGTAGACTTTGTTAGTATGACAAGTGTGTTCGTTAGTAGTTCATTAGTCTCAAATCCACCATACAAAAAACAACAATAAAGATACCAACAAAAAAAAAACAGCATAAAAAACAAACAACAACAACAAAAAAAATGTCTGGAAGCTTCTAAGTTTCCTGAAAATTCTTAATAAATGAAGGCTCTGGGTGATTTGAGTTCATGCTGATCCCATACAAAAACTGCCTACTGTCATGTGACTAAAAGGTGGAGCTTTGAGGGAGCTGAATGATGGGATGAAATTAAGTCTTGAGATGTGGGAGCCGTGCACCCTGCTGGGCTTGGTAGGACCTCACCCACAAAGACCACACACCATTTAAATAGGAGTCATGGATAACATACACAACATCTGGCATGACATGGCATATGCAGGGCTCAGGCTTAAGGTGAGATGCAGACCGTGGGATGACAAAAGGGGGGTGGGGAACCTTATGTATCCAATGCACGATTTATAAAGATGCTGGGATGTGCAAAATCAATAATACAGCCACTGGCTAAAATGTTGCCTATTTGTTCTATGTACAATGGCCTTTATCAAACAAGAGAGTAAATATAATTTTTTTTTATAAATCTGCAACACTAATTTTTACTTTGACAGTAAGAAATAGCTCAGTATTAATAATTACTGCCGATTTTCACCTTTTCAGGAGAACGATGTTTTACCCAGAAAATGTGAGTATCACTGTGTTCTTGGTGATTACAAGTGTGTTACTATCCTAAGGTGTTCTGAGTGGCTTATACAGTACCATGCTACTATGGTTAGGTGTTCTGAATGTTTATTGTCATATTGTTATGTGGTTGTTCAGGGTGGTTGCTAGGACATTGCTGGTCAAAAAAAAGGTAACACTTTATTTTAAGGACCAGTTCTCACTATTAACTTTAAGCGTGCATATTACTAGCATATTGGTTGTGTATTAGTACTTATAAAGCACATATTAATGCCTTATTCTGCATAACCATATTTTAGATCCTTTACCCCACACCTAAACTTAACAATTACCTTATTAACTATTAATAAGCAGCAAATTAGGAGTTTGTTTAGTGAAAACTCTTAGTTAATAGTGAGTATGTCTTCTCTGTTCTAAAGTTTTACCAAATATATATAAAATTTATGTTTGTGGCAAGTAAAAACTATGAATTATCATATAATTTACAGTGCAAAACATGTTTATATTCATTATATTTTATTTCATCACTTTCTTATTTTTGTCATCAGTTATGTGCTATGCATTAGGTTGTTTTATGTTACATTTTGTGTTATTTAGTTTATGTTTATTGCATTAAGTATTGCGTGCATTCGTGTGGTGTTTGTCTTTGTTTGTATAACCCTGTGCACCATCCATAGAGATACATTGGCCATGTTTTATTCTTACAATTAATTCTGATTCATTCATGTGATTTTCTGTTTTACCATCTGTTATGGTGGTTATAAGCACATTTTAAGAGGGAAAAAGTAAATTGGTATATTAAAATTAAAATAATAACTTGCTTAATAATAATAAGATATATAATAAATAATTATATATCTTAATAAAAAGTTGTAAAATACACAGGCGCCAATATACCATCCTGTAATACCTGAAGAATTGTCACCATATTTTTTAACAGAATTTTTGGAAACCACAGCTGCCAGATTGTTATCAAAAATATAACAGGATTTGAGATATCCTATCCAGTTTAGCAGTTATTACTTATTAGTTACATGAGCATAAATGTTAACAGTTAATAGTTAAATGTTCATATCACCCTAAGTATGAGCAATAATAATATGCTTTGTCTTTGTTTGTATAACCCTGTGCACCATCCATAGAGATACATTGGCCATGTTTTATTCTTACAATTAATTCTGATTCATTCATGTGATTTTCTGTTTTACCTTCTGTTATGGTGGTTATAAGCACATTTTAAGAGGGAAAAAGTAAATTGGTATATTAAAATTAAAATAATAACTTGCTTAATAATAATAAGATATATAATAAATAATTATATATCTTAATAAAAAGTTGTAAAATACACAGGCGCCAATATACCATCCTGTAATACCTGAAGAATTGTCACCATATTTTTTAACAGAATTTTTGGAAACCACAGCTGCCAGATTGTTATCAAAAATATAACAGGATTTGAGATATCCTATCCAGTTTAGCAGTTATTACTTATTAGTTACATGAGCATAAATGTTAACAGTTAATAGTTAAATGTTCATATCACCCTAAGTATGAGCAATAATAATATGCTTAATAATAATAATAGTGATGTGTGAGTTGATGATAAGCTAATCATATCAGAAATAGGCGAGTCAGACAGATCAGACAGATTTGACCGCAATTTCAAAAAGAAGTTACTATGTCTGTTTTTGAAGCAATAGGCAGAAAACATTTTGGAAGAAATAGTACAACACCTTAAATCGTCAACCTGCTATCTTGACACACTTCCCTCATTTTTTTTCAAAAGTGTGCTTAACTGTTTAGAAGCAGATTTTAGAAGCAGAATGCCTCACTTCTTTCTGGGACTTTTCCAAAATCCCTGAAAACTGCAGTTGTTAAGCCCCTTCTGAAAAAGAGCAATCTTGATAACACCTCATTGAGCAACTATAGACCAATATCAAATCTCCCTTTTATAGGCAAGATTATTGAAAAGGTAGTTTTTAATCAGCTGAACAACTACTTAAACTCAAATGGATACCTGGACAATTTTCAATCTGGTTTCCAACCGCATCACAGCACAGAGACAGCGCTCATTAAGATAAAAAATTATATTCGCTTTAATTCTGATTCTGGCAAAATATCAGTGCTGGTACTACTAGATCTTAGTGCTGCGTTTGACACTGTCGATCATAACATACTTCTAGAGACAGGAATAAAGACTGGAAAACT